TGCACAAATGTAATTTAGCAGTAATAGCTTTTCAATCAACGTATTGTATTCGGATATGGTAAAGTTATCGTTTTATGTTATTCATATTGTATTATTGAACTTTATTGTAAGTAGACTAACATCTCCCTTTGGAGAGTACGGCGCAATAAAGAGATACTATTAAAAAAAAAAAAAAAAAAAAAAAAAAAAAAAAAAAAATTAAGCTAATCACACTCAAAGCAGTAGTTTAAACCAACCAATTACATTCAAAGTTATAGTTTAAATCAACCAATTAAAACAATTTAAAAATTTAAAAAAAAAAAAAAAAAAAAAAAATAGAGAAAATGTTGGGACCCAAGAGATCCATTAAGATCACTGACGTGTACCTCTGCCAATGTTATTTCCTGCATAGCTTGCACTTAATGCAATAAGTTATACATTGGCGAAACAGGAAGCCGCAGGTCACGCTGACTTCACAACAGGCCCAAAGGGACGAGGAAGGATGCTTTGCTTTCCAGTCAGTCACGCCCGACGATGTGCGAGAAGTGATCTTAGACATGCCTACCAATAAGGCACCGGGCTTTGATAAAGTTCCCATTTCGGTGGTAAAGGACTGCCTTGAGCACATCCTTCCAACGCTGACTGACCAAATAAACCACTCTTTATCAAGTTCCGTGTTTCCGCTAGCGTGGAAAAAGGGTGAAGTAGTCCCACACCCAAAAGAAGGTGACCGTGAGGTGGCGAATAACAACCGTCCAATCACGCTATTGCCAGTCCTCTCTAAGGAAGCAGAGAGGATTGCCATGCGTCAGTTCAATGACTACTTGACATTGCATAACCGATTAACGACACATCAAAGTGGAAACCGATCTCTGTACTCAACGGAAACGCTGAGCTTATTAGTAACGGACGACATCCTTAGAGCGATGGATAGCAGGCAAATAAGAGCAATGGTTCTAATAGACTTGAGTAAAGCTTTCGACAGTCTCTGTCATTCTACCCAACTGCTCGGCACCTCAGAGAAGGTACTCCACTAGTTCAAGAGCTACCTGTCAGATAGACGGCAGTGTACTCGAATTGGAACATCATTGTCAGATCCCCTCACGACAACTCATGGGGTACCTCAAGGGTCCATCTTAGGCCTGATGCTGTTTACACTCTAAATGAATGACCTTCCAACTGTAACTAAGTTCAGTAACATCGAATCCTGTGTGGACGACACTAAGATCTACCTATCGTGTGCGTCTAAAGATATCCGGTCTTGTCTGCAACAAGTCGCCGAGGATCTTGAAAGTATTGCTGGTTGGTTTTGCGCAAATCACCAGCTTATAAACCTGGATAAAACTAAACTTGTGCCCTTTGGAACACGGCAACTTGCATCAAAGCTACCTGACGTCACTATACCCTTTCTTGGACAACGACTATGCACCCGATTCGCTCGTAATTAACCGCTTACATGCGGATTTAATAAGTATCAAATTAACGCATACAAGCGGTCAAAGTAGAGCCTATTTACCTATCGTGAACCTGTGACGTATGGGATTAAATATTAGCGCCCTGCGCAACATGCTTCGCTGACCCCATTGCTTGGTCTTTGTATCCCTGCACAACGTGGATCATTAGGTTATTGCGCGTCTGACCTTTTTACTTTACAATGGAAAGGCAGGCGATCTTTTGACCTATTCTGTTACAAACGACGTTGATTTAATTGCGATCTGAGGACATCTTTCGAGCATTTTTAAAATTTTGTTACACACAGGCTTTATATGAAGTTTAAGGTTTTCGCCGGCCAGTTTAGTCCTAATTCTGCGTTGTCCATAGCTATAGCCTTTCACAAATGATGTGAAAGCCGTTTTATGTCGAAAGAAATTAATTGAAGCATGTGTTGTACTTTCTCTCCATCTAAATAGAAATAACATGGAACGACGAGAAACCACAAAAGCGATTTTAAACCACCTAAAAGCATTTTAAACTAC